ATCGAGGATTTTTCGTAAATACAGCAGACATTGTTTTCTTAAATCTGTTCCTCTTAAGCTCTGAAATTCCATGTTGCAGTCTTGGGGTGGGGGGATTATCATTCACATATACTGTGATATTCCGTGCAGAGGAATAGAGGCAGTGCTGATACCCATCACTTGATTTTGGATCTAAGAAATTTCCAGATCCTGAACGTTCTTTCGTATTTGAACCTTAGTAAATTATTTTAGGCTTTCAATGGGTAATGAGTTTTGGGATGAGGTTTTTGTTAAGATAACGGTTTATAATTCTTGAGCTAATGAAACATTTTTGTGTTACTGAGCGTCTGCTGAAGCAGTGTCGTTGTTTTCTGTGAAGAAGCCGGCGAGGAGATTAAAGTAGTGGTAGATTTTGAAAATAGGTGAGAATTAAAAAGACAATTGCAGGATCCTGGGTGGCTCAGTCCTTAAGCATCTGCCTTTGGCTCGGGTAATGATCTCAGGGTCCTGGGGTCGAGCCCCACGTCGGGCTCCCTTCTCAGCGGGGAGTCTGCTTCTCCCTCTCCCACTCCCCCAGCTTGTGTTCCCGCTCTCCCTGTGTCTCTCTTTGAATGAATAAAATCTTTAAAAAATAAAAAGGCGATTGAGATTGCCTAGGCGTGAAAGCAGTGGAGCTAGGAGATGAAAAATCCTACCGAGAGGCAGACAGGATGTGCCGGCGACCAGTTGCCGATTATACCTTCCCGTTCCCCGGACTAGCTGGACGGCCAGTGCAGGGGTGTACCGTCAGTTCATCTGGCCTGTGACCAGGTTGGAATTTGATAAGTGAGGTCAGTGGGGTACAGGCCTGCCTCTGTTCCCTCGTACTCAAAAGACGTGTTTTAAAACTCTAGTTTGTCACTGAGTTGTTACTGTCCTCAGTTGCCTCTCTAATGAGACCGAGGCTAGCCGTAGGATCGTGCGTGGAAAATTACCCTAATACAGATGCTGTGAGCCATGAATTCTGGATCCTGGAAGAGCATTTCTTCCCATTCTTAAAGCAAAGGCTCAGGGGTGCCTGGCTGGCTCAGCTGGAGGGGCATGCGACTCTTGATCTCAGGGTCAGGAGTTCAAGCCCCACACTGGGTGTAGAAATTGCTAAAATAATAATAATAATAATGAAAAATATAAAAAGCCTCAGCTTTAAGCCTGATTTTAAAGTATGTGAATTTTAACTTTGTCTTTCAGCTCCTTTTTATACTACTGTATGCTATTTCCTATTTTCTGCTTTCTGTGAACCCTTTCCCCATCCCCCAAGTACAGGTCAGCTAATAGCATTTATTTTATAAGAGTATTTACTGGCCTTTTTCCAATGGGAACAATTATTACCACCCTACAACTCCTCAATGAGGTGTTAAAGGAAAGCAGTTGAATTGGATTAATTTGTGCTAAAGTGTGAATGACTGACAGCCCTACAAAACTTCCCAGAAATTTCTATTTTTAGAAGGCTATTCTTTTTAGATTAAGTTTTAATCTGCTATTTCAGACAGAGGGCCCAATAAAGTGAATGCTTGAGCTTTGTGGGAAAGCTGTCTGTTCCCTTCTTTTGGGTCTAACTTTGCCATGGTTGGGGGAGTACAGGGGAGAGATGGATGGTAGCCAGCCTCCTGCAGTCCATCTGTAGAGGCCTAGGCAGCCTTCTAGTATTTAGACCTGCCTTTTAGAATGCGCAGAACACCTACATCGAGGCGGCGAATGGGAGTTTTCTTGTCCTTCCCATTGTAAGGAAGCCGCTGCATGGGTGAGGCTCCCCGGCACTCTGGACAGCTGCATGTCAGCACTGCCTCCGCTTGCCCCTCTTCCTGTTCCTGGAGTGAGGACAACGAACGACTTGCAGCAGAGGGGACAGGGGTCCCTCTCTGGATAGCAGCCTCTGTCAGCCGGTGAGCTCTAGGCCCCCTGCTATGCAGAGGCCCTGTGCCACACTCTTGGCCTGAGGTGGGTGGTTAGTGCACTGCCAAGGCCCTGCCCCTGAACGGGCACCTTCCAGCAAACACTTTGTAGTTGGCAGAGATGGCCCGGCTGAGGCTTCCAGTCCCGCTTAGCTGATTTGTGAAAGACCAAATTGGTGTAAGAAAGGTAGCTTAGAAGTGCCGCTGCAAACAGCATAAAAAGTAGATGGTGAGTTGCAGAGATCGTCTATAATAAGTACAGGCAGTAAATGTAAAGTTTTATGAAGGCAAAAGAGGAGAGAAAGAAACATACATGATGTCCCCTCCTTACCAGTCACAGTCACTGCTTCTGATATTTTCTCACCAAGTGCAGCTTGTATAGTCCAAGGCGTTCAAAACTTATTTGAATTTTGTTATTTTGTTGTGTAATACAGTCTTTATTGTTTTACTACGAAGTGTTGGGAATTATTATTGAGTAAACTTGGTGCTCTTGAAGGTTGTAGCTTGCTTATTCTGTGTCTTGGTCTCTGTCCGCTGGCACAGCTGCCTCATGCCTCGTCCCACGATCGGGTCTAAGAGGCACAGGCCCCTTTATCCTCACAGCAGCCTCGTGGAAAAGATCTCTCATTTTACAGATGAGAAAATTAGGGTTCAAAAAGGGAAGGAACTTAGTCTCCCTGGCAGTGTTACCTTTCTCCCCTGTAAACTCTCCCCTCATAGGGATTTTGTGATTCTGCACAACGGAAGGACTAGCAGTACAAATAGAGTGCTTATCTAGAACTTGAGAGAGGGTTTTGGTTCTCTTCCTACCTAATTTATAAGACTTGCAAAGAAATCTTTTTAAAGTTCTGTTATAGAAGTCTTGTCTTTTGTGTCCACATAAGCACGTTGAGTTTAATTTCAACCTCAATGTTGGGAAAACATACATATTTTGGGGACACCTGGGTGTCTGAGTTGATTGAGCATCTGCCTTTGGCTCAGGTTGTGATCCCGGGGTCCTGGGATCCAGTCCCACAGCAGGCTCCTTGATCAGAGGGGAGCCTGCTTCTCGCTCTGCCTGCTGCTCCCCCTGCTTGTGCCCTCTCTCTCCCTATCCCTCTGACAAATAAATGAATAAAAATCTTTTTAAAAATGCATATTTTTAGGGGCGCCTGGGTGGCTCAGTGGGTTAAGCCGCTGCCTTCGGCTCAGGTCATGATCTCAGGGTCCTGGGATTGAGCCCCGTGTCAGGCTCTCTGCTCAGCAGGGAGCCTGCTTCCCTCTCTCTCTCTCTCTCTCTCTCTCTCTCTGCCTCTCTACTTGTGATCTCTCTCTGTCAAATAAATAAATAAAACCTTTTAAAAAATGCATATTTTTAATAATCAGACACATGGCATGCTTGAAGACTAGTTCTAAATAAAAAGTTGTTAACGGGATAATACCCTGGAGAACTCCCTCAATTCTAGTGCACTCTTCTGTGTATCTGTACATACTGGACTTTTAAACACAAAATCTTTGTCACTAGTTATTAGTGTCCTCACTGCACTGAAAACAAGCTGTGTTAATCTGCTGCCCTTTTTAAGCCCCCCACGCCTGCTACTTCCATAAGTGTACCACTGGGCCGCAATGTGTAATAATAGGCAAGAACTCAGGTTTTGATACCAGCAAAATCCGATTTTAAATCTGACTCCAAATTATTAGTGTCACATTGGGTAAAGTACTTTAGCTCACTCTGCCTCAGTTTCCTCTTTAAAAAAAAAAAAAAAACACAAAGAAGTCAGTAATACCTACTTCATGGGATTTTTAGAAGTCTTTTCCTGAGTTGTTTATGGTGATTACAGTGGAATGTCCTGTCATAATGTCTAAAAAATTTTGGACTGATGTTTTACCTTGTAAATTTACTTTAAATTGAATAGATATATTCTCTAGTAAAGAGTATAAATATATATTTTTCCTATACATGAGGTGAAATTTACTTGAAAAGACTAAGTCCATAATTTGTATGACCCATTTTTTTGGTGATTGATATTGTAAATAATGAACCATCTTCTACTTTAGATTGATTTCGATGGGGGAAGGGTGCTGCATTCGGATAATAAACAAGGATATTGGCATTCGGCTAATCTGGTCTGTTAATTGAGTAGTCTGAAAAGATTTATAGATGATGAATTTCCATACTCTTGAAAATAATTTTACAGCTCTTGCACTACTTCTGGGTTTATATTGTTGCCTTGTTTTAAAGTAGGACTTTCCCCCAGACAGTGCACGTTAATATTTGGAAAATTCCCTATCAGTAGGCTAGCACCATCTTGACAGCCCTATGTTCTGCTTCTACCTTGCTAATTGTTTCTTTGGGATTATTTGGATTGTGTAGAAAGCTTTTTGCAAATCCTCTTATTACTGAAGTCATTGTTGCCAGCAGGAATAAGATTAAAGGTGCTTAAGTCTGTAGAGTTGTTTCTAATTTGTACGTGTCATTTCAGTGCCATTTTAACAGAACTCTGTCTCCTGTCTCTCCCTTCTCCCCCAGTACTATCTCAAGTTAGGTCCGAGGAGCCAGGCCATTGGAAGAAATCTCATTTTATCCTCCTAATTATTATGCTGGCACTCAGGAGATAATTTTTCCCTTCATGCACTGCCAATTAATATGCAAATGGGCTGATAAATATTTATGCAATGATTTAAATTATGCAGGGAGTGCTTTCAGTGTGTTCTGTAAATGAATTGTTCGTGGACTTCAAAGTGCTGGCTGCTGTGCTAACGAGGAGAGATTTGCATAAGGCCCTAATCACACGCATACTGATTAAGCTTCATTATGGAAACTGCCAGCTGCAATCTTTGTTTCTATTTTATTACAAAAAGGGGAACTTTTCATGCTTCAGTTGCCTTGACAATGTCAGTCCTAGCTGGTAGGAGAGACTAAAACTCCTCTGAGCAACTGAAGTTTCCTTATTCAGTTGAAGATTGCTATGGTGTAACTGAAGTTGTATTTTGCCTCGCCCCCTAACCCACTTTCCACCTCCCACCCTTGTTCTCTTAAGAACATAGTGTAGATTTGTTAGAAATAGTAGTACCTTCTTCCCCCCACCCCAAACTGCTACCTGTTTCTTCCTTGCTCTGGACTGTCTGAACCTCTAGAAGACCTCACAGCAATGCTGGACTGCAGTGACTATGTTCTAGGTGGGTACCAGCACAGTTCTTTCTTATAAGCTTTAGTATGGAAATGGCGTGTGTGGGGTTGACTATGCATAAATGCTTAATCGCATATGCAACCAGCTCGGGGAGGGAGGGGAGAGGTGGATTGAGCAGAGAAGTAGGAAAGCATTTGCAAGGCAGGAGCATACTTGAATTTGCAGTAGGTCCCTCCCTACCACCAGCTCTTCTGGTTCAGAAGACATTTTCAGTACATAGTGTAGATTTGGAATTCACCTTAAACAGAGTACATTTTTGCTTTTTGGAAATATCTATTGGGAGCATTTCATGTAGTTCTAAAAACACTCTAAATCTGAAACAATATTATAAAGTGTACCTAAAAAATGCATACATATTAATAAAAATGTTTTGCATACCTAATGTCAATGTCTTATATAAAAACCAAAAGTGGACAGTGAAAAATAAGGCGGAGCCCCAATGCAGAATGGCTCCCATGAATACTGATGCAGAGGGCCATGGCAGCGGTTCCTGCCATAGGACTGATCATTGATCAGTTTCCAGCTTTGAGAAACTATCAACTTTTCAAATTTTGGCCGATATTAGCCTTTTTAATTTAAAAAAAAATCAACTTCTGTTCTTCAGAAAACAATTTTAAGTGCTGGAAAGCCTATATTTAGAGTTCTGTCTGTAGAACAACAAACCTGTTAGGAGAGGTGGGGTGTGACGCTTGATTATATAAACTGTCTTTGGTAACTGAGATTTAAAATAGATTGAGACGCACTGTGACTCCTGGTGGCTCTATTTTGTGTTGAGATTTGTCTGTTTGTATGCAAAATTCTTGAAACCTCCTTAGGTTACTCTGGTCACCTGGAGAGTCAGATGCCATAAATTCCCAGGACAGAGGTACTTTAGGTTGAAAACCTTTGCAAGTGATTTTTTTTTTCCTGTACGTCATTTTTTGTGCTTGAAAATTTGAGGCTTAACCCCCACCACCCCCATCTCCTTCACAGTTGCTAAGGATAAAATTAAATGATAGTTCTGAAAATGTTTACATTGTTAGGCAGAAGGAATGACCTAAACTCAAGACAGTAGTAATATTTGTGTAGCACAATAAAAACCACAATCAAAACAACAAACTGATACCAAGAATTCCATCCGAGAACAGTTTGTAGACTGTGTGTTAGACTTATACACAGCTCAGTGTGCCCAGAGAGAAAAACAAACAAACAAACAAACTTCAAATATCAAAAGAGAACTTACTTGTATTTACTCTTTTACATCTACTATGTTGGGAACTCAAAAAAAAAAAAGAAAAGAAAAATACCTTTGAAATATTTTTAGCATTATATTTTAGAATTGGAAATCGTATCTCTACTATTTGTAATGAACAGTAACTGTCATTTGGACAGTTTTCACATTGTTGTACAGTTAATTATGTTTTGTTTACATGTGTATGTGTGTGTGAAGTAATTTTGTTCAATGTCTCTAAAGCTCGACAATTCAATAGAAAATGCTTAGAAGAGTCACACAGTACCTGTGACATAATTTTTAATTTAGATGTGTGGAAATTAGGGTATGAGTTTCACAAGCACAGGCTCATGACTTGTTAAGAATTATTCCTACTTCTTTGTATAAAAGATATGTTACCCTTTTTATGAATATTAACTGGTTCATACTTCTCCCACTTTCTGTTACCAGTCTAAAGGAAGCATTGAGCAGAACGTATGTTTAATGGTATATTAACATTTGTTGTGATCTTTGTGGACTTCCGTAAGATTTTGGTTAAGTCATTCAGAAAGCTGGTTTTCACTAAGTTGTACCACCTGTTCCTTTCAAACCTTAGTATGCTTTCAGTGACATCTAAATTTTTCTGTGCAGTAGATGCAAGGAAGTTGTAGAACTATCCTTTATGACCACAGAAAAAACGAATTTGAATCCTTTGAACATCTGAAGAACTAAAGATATGATAAAACTGCTTAAGACTGTAAGACAAGCATCTGTTTCAAAACCTGTGTTAGGAACCCTATCACACAGCATCCAGGTTGGAAATGAAATTAATGAGGAGGACTCTTGATTCTCTCTCATCACTTGTGCATTTGGATAAAGCAACTATGGATAGCGTGGTTGGGACTTCTGATGATGGTTTTGGTTTCCTAGTTAAACATTAAAGCAGATGACAAAATGTACCCTTGAATGAAAAAATCAAATATATGTAGTTTATTCTAAACTAATAATTATAGTTAAATGGTTCTTAACTCAGTAGGGGAAAAGGGGGAACTTGGTTGATAGTAAACTTGATTACAAATATGCTAAGTTTGGGTTTATAGTAGAAATACAGTAAGTATGTATTAAATGTATATTTAGGTTTTACCCTGTTAAAAAGGTGGAAGAAAAACAGACTTTTTCTCATCTCTTGTATATCTTCTGGGATACTTTATATTGCTTGATGAAAACTTTTTACTATGAAAACCTTCATTAAAGAGATAACCCTTTAGGAGATAAACCCAGGTCAGGATGTTCATATGGGATATCACATAGTGTTTTTAGGTGGGTGTGGGTGTGGTTCAATTTTGAAATTATTAGATATATCTGTCATGCCTTGTGGTGCACCTTCTTGGACTGGTTTATGGTTGGGGTATGAATTTGACATATTCTCACTTTGACGCATAGTTTGGGTAGGGAGTAGATAAGGAGATTTTTTTTCTTAGACATGCTTTCTTTTTATTCTGTTAGGTTGAGTTACTGTACAGTCTTTTAGGAAGAGTACCAGTGAATTGTTTTGGTTTTAACTAACAAATGCGAAGGCTAATGAGAAAAAGAAGCTTTCTTTGAGAGTAACATGTTTTACTCTGTAAGGTGCTTGGCCCTAGTTTGTTTCTTTGAAGAATTTTATACTTCATAATTTATTTATTACATTTACATGTTAGACTCTATTGTAATTTTTTTCCGGTTAGATTTCAGTTATCTTTGTTAGGAGAAAGTTAAAATTCTTTGGAAAGAGAGTTTATTTGTGGATCACTTCGGGGTTAAGGAATCCTGAATTTCTTTCAGATAAAACTTTTATTACAATTTCCAATGTTTTAGTGTTGACACTATCTGTTTTTGAACATTAATTAATGTAACATTAGTCAATATTCTTTGATGTTTTGAACATTAATTAATGTAACATTAGTTACATTTGATGTTTTTGAACATTAATGTAACATTAGTCAATATTCTTAGACCTTTCCTTTGCCACAATTTTGCCTTCCTAACCACATCCCCAATTTTTAAAAAACCTCATTCACCTCTCATTCATTGCAGACTCAAGAATGAACAATCCGTCAGAAACCAGTAAACCATCTATGGAGAGTGGAGATGGCAACACAGGTAAGAGATGATTCCCAGATCCAGCTTTTTAACTAGATCTAATGGAGTTAACAGAAGAACTTTCCATTTAACTGTGACTTCTGTTCGGCAAATGAAGAGCAGTTGGAGTGTTGAGTTGTCAGATGTAATTTAGTGCTTGCAGGAACTGGTATTGTATTTGCTTAAGATTATTTAGTTTTGGTTATTTCCCCCCAAAATACAAACGCAGTGATCCGAAGGGGCACATGCACCCCAATGTTTATAGCAGCAATGTCCACAATAGCCAAACCGTGGAAAGAGCCTAGAATGAACATCAAGAGATGAATGGATAAAAATGAGTATGTGTGTGTGTGTGTGTGTGTGTGTGTTGGAATACTATGCAGCCATCAAAAGAAACGAAATCTTGCCATTTACAGCAACATGGATGGAACTGGAGGGTATTATGCTGAGCGAAGTAAGTCAATCAGAGAAAGACAATTATCATATGATCTCCCTGATATAAGGAATTTGAGAAATAAGACAGAGGATCAGAGGGGAGGGGAGGGGAAAATGAAGCAAGACGAAACCAGGGAGGGAGACAAACCACAAGAGACTCAATCTCAGGAAACAAACTGCTGGTTGCTGGGGGGTGGTGGATAGGAATGGGTTGGCTGGGTGAGGGACATAGGGGAGGGTATGTGCCATGGTGAGTGCTATGACGTGTGTAAGACTGATGGTTCACAGACCCGTACCCCTGAAGCAAATAATACATTGTATGTTAATTAAAAAAACAAGAGATTATTTAGTTTCTCCTGCAGATTGCCTCATCTCTTTGCTGCTGTTTTTCTGTTTTTCAGAGAAACTCTGAAGCAGTTGAGAGAAGAGTCCTTTAGGGTCAGGTAGTTCTGGGTGTGAATTAGGGATTTGTTACTAGCTTTGGACTTCAGGCAATTTCCCCAATCTTTTGAGACTTTATTCACCTATAAAATGGAGATAATATATTTCATAGGTCATTGTGAGTATTAAAGGAAATGGTTAAGCACAGTGCTAGTAGCTACACAGTAACCTTTCAGTAAAACGTTGCCCTTGTTACAGGTGTTAATCAAAATAGTAAATATTATCCACCCCCCCATTCAGTATAAATTGAAGTTATGATGGTGTCAGTAGATAGTTAAAAACACACACCTATTTCTAATCTGTTCTTTCATCTGGTAATTTTTAAAAATTTATACTTGATTTAACTCTTTATTAGGAGAAAATTAATATCATGTGAACGAGAAAACTGAGTCCCCATGAGAGAAAGGCAAATCCGTGAAGGGTACGAGGTCTCCACAAGCCGTACCGTTGATTCATTGCATCGCTCCGAGGACATCCCGCCGGGTGTCCTCATCATCCGCCAGAGCGGGCGCCGGGCGGCCGGGTTTCTGGGGAGGAGGCACGAGTTTCAGTACTCAGCTGTGTTAGAGGGAGTTAGGGGCAGGGGTACACACACAGTAACAACTTCTGAAGTAAACTAGGTTATTCACTTGCAGAGGGGCTTGCCTCTTTGACCCATCATTTTAAAACTGCCCGACTGTGGGAGGTCGTACGCCTGGGAGTCACCCCTGGAAGCAGCCTTTGTTTTCACCTCTGTCGGCCACGACATCTTGTAATTTGAAGCAGATGAGTCGAACCAGTATAGCAGTTCCCGCCCACATATCTTTCCATTCGAAATTGTTCTCCACGTGGGGGTACTTGTTAAGCTTTTAGTCCCGAGAGTGAACCGGCCTCTTGATGGGAGTTGAGCCGTGGAACGTCCCGCTGCGCGGAGCCGGGCGCCCGGAGCGCGCCGAGGCCAGCCGGGGAGGCCCCGCGGGACCTGCCGCCGCGGGACCTGCGGGCGGGGAGAAGGGCCGCGCAGCGTTCTCTTCTGTCTGGGCTGTCGGCGGCAGTCTCATTTTTGTTGTTTCTCTGTCCTCTGTCCATCATTTTATAGCACGGATCCATCTGCCGGTGTTTTGGCCAGCTAGCTTAGGTGGGGGACTCGTTTGCAGAGAGAAGCAGGGCGGTGCATCCCGTAGGCCGTTGGGGGGGTGCACGGGGCACTTGCGCCCAAGGAGCCACTTCAGAGGACAGGCGTGCATTCCTCAGGGAAGAGAGACCGGTGGTTGGGCCAGCACTGAAAATGGGTCTACCCCAGAGTCCTTGAGAAACCCGTACGAGTAATAGACGTTTCATAGCTATCGTTTGTTGAACACCTACATTTATTTAATAATCCTCCGAAGACATGTTTTTAAAAATCTTAAGCACTGTACCCATTACCTGATTTCAAGTTGAGTTCTTAATGACAGCCCTGTAAGTTAGGTATTATTATTTCAAGGAGTAAGAAGAAGTCAAGGCACAAAACCAGCCAGGAAATAAAGGCAAAATGAAGATTTACACCCTGCATATGGTTTCTCCCATGAATTGCAATAAAATAAAGCAGAAAATTTAAGCCGTGCTTGATTTCAGGTAAAACCATTTTCAGAACTATGTATTAGAGAAATTCTAGATGGAGCACTTGCTAAAGCAGTCTTGGGAATTTCTTGACTTGTTTTAATATGCAGTGCCTGGTAGACTCAGAACTGGACAGTATCAATATAGATTTTTACTTTTTAATGTCTCTAAAACTCAGCATTTGTTGCTATTGTAAAATTACAAATCACTTCCATGTTACAGACCTTTACATGCACTTGAAGGTAACTAGAACCTTGAATGTCAATTTCTGAAACGTTAAGAGCCTCTCACTCTGTTCTTAGCATCTCCCACTGATGTCAGTTTATTAGTTTAGGAATATAAAAATAACTTGGAGTTCCAGTTTGCCTATTAAATTACAATGCTCAGTGTATCAGATATAGATAGATTGCTCAGACGATTACATGCCTATAAATTGATTTTTATTTAAAAATAAAACAGACCTACAGATTGTTTAATTGTAAAGGATGTATGGATTCTTCGTTTCTGCTACTTGAATGACAAGTAAAGTTCTCAGTGGAAAGAACGCTAAGTGTTGTTGTAAGAAAACGGAAGTCTTACCTTTTCTTGGATTTGGAACTTTTGTGTAGATTACTAAAATTTTAAATATTTCTAGAAAAAATAACTTTGGTTTGTGACATTTTATAGGGAGTAATACTGTAGAATTATTTAAGATCTTGTTTGAGATGTTTCTTCTTTGCCTTACTCCTGCCAGAGCGACCTGTGTAAGTTGAGCAGGTAAATCTGATGGTGCGCTTTTGTCAAACAGCCCTGATGTGTTCCCAGAAAATCTGTAGTTTAGGTTTATCAGTGTATTGACTCATTAAGTGCCTGTTATATGTAGAATATTGAGTGTGGTGTTTATTATAAGATGCTAGTGCAAATAGATGAGATTCCCTTTCAAGAGTTAGCAGTCCGTTAAGAAAACAGATACACAGAGAAGAGATTCCAGGTAGATTATTGTAATTCAAGAGGAGGTATAGAAAAATATCATAGTGGTATTTCTTTGAGGAACTTAGAGTATTTTTTTCCTTGACATATGATTGACATGCAAATTATATTAGTTTCAGGTAGACAACATAATGGTTGAATATTTGTATATACTGTAAAATGACCAGTAAGTCTGGTTTTTCCTGTCACTGTGTGAAGTTACGTAATATGCAATACAGTATTATTGAATACAGTCATCGTGCTCTAATTACATCCCTGACTTACTATTCTGTGACCGGAAATTTGTACCTCATGACCTCCTTTTCCCCTTTTGCCCAACCCCCAGTCACCCTTCCCTTCTGGTAACCACCAGTCTGTTCTCTACATTTATGAATTTTGTTTTGTTTGTGTTACTTTTTAGATGCCACATGTCCTGAGATCTGTGGTATTTGTCATTCTCTGAGTTACTTCACTGAGCATAATACCTTCAGGGTCCATCCATGTCATCCTCAATGGCAAGACTCCCCTCTTGGTTATGGCCGAGTGGTATTCCATTGTGTGCATATACATCATCTTCTTTATCCCGGCACTCGTGGATGGACACTAGGGTTGTTTCCATATCTTAGCTATTGCGAATAATGCTACAGTGAACACGGACATGTGTGTATCTTTTCTAATTTGTGTTTTTATTTTGTTTTGTTTTTTTGGATCAATACGCAGAAGGGGAATTGCTGGTAGTTCTGTTTTTAGTTTTTTCAGGATCCTCCATATTGTTTTCCATTGTGGCTGTACCACTTTACATTCCACTGACAGTTACTAAGGTTCCCTTTTCTGCCCATTTTCACCAGTACTTGTTACTTCTTGTCTTTTTGATAGTCACCATTCTGACGGATGTGAGATGATATCTCATTGTGGTTTTCATTCGCATTTCCCTGATGATTAATGATGTCAGTATCTTTTCATGTGCCTGTTGGCCATCTGTACGTCTTCTTTGGGAAATTGCCCATTATTTACCAGATTGGTTTTTTCGTTATTGAGTTGTGTGAGTTCTTTCTATATTTTGTCATAAATTGACTATATGTGCATGGGTTTATTTCTGGACTCTGTACTGTTCCATTGATCTGTGTGTCTGTTTTTATACCAATACCATACTGTTTAAATTATTATATCTTTGTAATATAGTTTATTACAGGCAGTATGATGACTCCAGCTATATCATTTAAGAACAAATTGATTGGTTTATTTTAAAGGAAGAGAGTGAGCAAGTGGGGGGCGGGGGGAGGTGAAGAAACCCGAAACCGACTTCACACCGAGTGCAGAGCCTGGTGCAGACCATCTAGATAAGAGAATAGTAATGATAGTTCTTACAGTTTTTTGGACAAGGATGCTGCCAAGGATATTGCCTGTAGGGGAAGCAGTAACTCCATTTCTTCTTCCTCCCAGTCCTTGGTTAACATCTGATCTATGTTCTGTCTCTAGGAACTGGCCTCTTCTAGATACTGTATATAAGGGGAATCACACAATATTTTTTCTTTTGTGTCTGACTTATTTCACTTAGCGTATTTTCAAGGTTCATCCACGTTATAGCATGTATAACTGGATAATATTTCATTGTGTGT